GAAGGCTGCCGAGGTGATGGTGGTGGGCAGACTGAGGCCGCGGGTGACTTCCCGCCACACCTTCCGGTTGATGACCTCCACCAGACCGCCCTTGGCTGTCACCAGGCGAAACAGCGCGTAGAGATCCAGCACTTGCTTCGCCATAATGGGCACACGGTTCACCGGTGTCCCTGGCGGGGCGTGGGCAGACAGGACACTAAGGCTCTGCGCGGGCCCGGGGGGAGTACAGGAGCTGGTGCCTGCTTGAAGCTTGGGTACCAGCCGGACCCCAGAAGGGCGGGAAGGAGGAAAGCCCGGGGAGGTGGGGCTGCAAGCAGTGACCCGCAGAACCTCCAGGATGAACATCACAGCGGGAAGGAGAGGCTCACCCAGGGCCACCAGACTTACTTTGTAAAGGGCCGGGTGGCACTGTGAGGGCTCTGCAAACCAGTCTCTGCCATACCTACCCAGTTCTGTAATTGTAGCCTGAAAGCAGCCCAAGAGGATTCTTAAGGGAAGGGATGAGCTGGGCTGTATTCCAATAGAACTTATGTTTTGGGTACCAGGAGTCGAACTCCGGGCCTCACACTTGCCAGGCAGGCGCTGTGCTTCTGAGCTACATCCCCGGTCCCTCCAGTAAAACTTTATTTACAGGCTCTGAAATTCAAATTCTTTTGTTTTGTTTTGTTTTTCTTTTTTGAGACAGGGTCTCACTATGTAGCCCAGGCTGACCTCAAACTCTCTGTGATCCTCCTGCCTCAGCCTCCCAGGTGTTGGGACTACAGGCGTGCACCACCATGCTTGGCTGAAATTGGAATTTCACACATCCAAAAGTTATTCCTCTTTCAGTTCTATTTTCCAAGTGTGTAAAAACTACTCAAACTGGGCATGGTGGGTGCACACCTATGTTTCCAGCTACTGGCGAGGTGAGGCAGGATGACTGCGAGTTATGGACACCCTGTCTATAAATAAAATGAAAAGGGCAGAGGGTGTAGCTCCGTGGTAGACTGTTTGCCTAGCATGCACAAGGCTCTGGTTCCATACGTAGTACCACCAAACAAACAAAAACACTTTTCCTGTCTCAAGGAGGCGGGATTTGACCAGAAAGCTCTACTTTGTTGATCCGTGGGGTGGTCTACAGGATGAACTTCTGGATGGTGCCGAAGAGCTGACCTCCCTAAGCAGCAGGCTGCAATGGCTGCTTGAGGTTTGAGGATGGCAGGTGGACAAGAATCAACTCCCGCCTGGGCCGCCAACTCTGCAGCCTGCACCACCCCCGCCGGCCAGTCCTGACAAAGGGGCCTGTCTCCGCTGAGCGATGGGCCCCAGTTAATTCCTTACCGATCCTGTCCCCTTCCACTGCTGCCTTTGGACCCGAACAATTAGCTGCGGCCTGATTAATGGGGGGAAATTATCGGCCCCGAGGGATGGCCCCTCCCCCTGCAGCTGAGCAGAGGGCGGCGGGGACTGAGGCAGGCAGAGCCAGGGGTGGGCAGAGCTGGGATCGGCTCAGACTACCCCGACATTCTCAGTGGAGCAGAAACACCAAAGAAGGGGCAGAGAGAAAGCCTGGGACCAGAATGCCCAAGCTTCCCGGGGGGAGCAGGAGGACCTGGACCCCACCGGAGGGTCCCTGCAAAGGAAGGGACCAGAAAGGAATGCTGGGCTTGGGTGGTGGCCCAGGGAGACTTAGACCAGCAGCTGCACTAAGGGAGGGGTGCAGTGCGGCCAGTTAATTAGCAGCTTATCAGGCTTCGCTCTGAGTGAGTTAATTAGCTTTGTAGAGAGAGATAATGAGTCAGTATTCAGTCCCATGAATCTGGGGAGGAACCGAAGTGATGGACTGCCACCCACCCAGATCCACTCCCGGGCCCTTCTTCCATTCTCCTCTAGCTTGGAGATCCCTGGGAGGGATCTGCTCCTCCCCTGCCCAACCACACGGTCCCCAGCCCGGCCCTCGGGAAGTCCTCTCTTCTGTACAATCCCAGTCCTCCCTGCTGTACAGCACACAGAACGCAAGCGAGGGAGACTGAGGGACACACGGCTGGATGCAGAGAGGGCACACGGCAGAGAGCCAAGGCATTCCCAGCCTTCCAGTCTTGGGACCCTCCCACCCCAAGCCATCCCCCAGCCGTTCCCCCTTGCACACTCCCAATTGATCCCTCACTCATTAACCTGCCAGTGGGCTGGCCACTAATTAATCCCAGGGTGGGGAAGGGGGCAGGGTCAGAGGTTAAAGACGCTATTGAGGGCCAAAGGCTAGGTGCTGCCAACCTCAGGCCTCTAGAGAGAGGACCCCACCTGGGAACTACACCCTGGGGTCTCCTTTCCTCAAACCTGCTAAGTAGGGGCAACTCCAAGATCCTCCCCAGTCACCTCACTCACCCCTCTTCTGCATGAAGCTAAACAGGTCGTCCAGAAACTCCTTCCTCTTGGGGTCTGCATCAAGCTCGTATAGCTGGGGAAGGGTCAGAGTTATTCTTCAGCCCCACTCACCCCACCCCCTTGGGACTCCAGTTCAGGTCGTACCCTGAACATGGGCCCCTAGCTGAAGGACCGTGTAGGGCCTGAATGTAAACTCCCTGGCATTAAACCCACCCGATAGGGGGCAGATGGGCTACATTTTTCTAACATACACAGAGACAAGCCCCCACCCCTACTGGTTAGTGCTGCCCTGGGCAATTCAAACCACCCACCTGGAAAATATGGGAAGAAGCCTGAGGAGCTAGGACAACTCAGCCTGAGATTCCAGGGCAGAGTCTTTACCCACCCTGAGGGGACACGGAAAAAGCCAGGGAGAAGCCAGGCAGGGCTGTGCTGTGCAGCGAGGACTGACATGCTTCCGGGAGGCACACGTTTAATCCCATTCATCTGTGCAAGGGCTCCCTGCGTTTGCATCCCTGTGTGCCAGGGACGCCTGGATAGGGGCAGGGAGGATGCTTGGGAGCTCCTGGGTTGAGACTTGGTCTGATCTTCCAGGGCAGTGACCCTGACTACTATAGAGGCGGCCAGAGAGACACTGACCATCACCTACCATCACCTATTGGTCATCCCCCCATTTCCCAGTCACCTGGAACCCCACCTCCAGATGCACCTCCCAAACCTATGAGGGGCGGTCACCAGAGCCATGGGGTCACGGCCCCCAGTAGCAACCTCTGAGTGACACTCCAGCCCTCCACAAGAACTCGAAGAGTAAAAACCCCCGTACGCAGCACACCGCAGAGACCCGTCTTTATAGCCACATTCCACAGCACTGGGCCCTGAGGCTCTGGTGGACACTTACAAAAAAAAATCTACCTTTTCCAGCTTATAAGCCCCAGAATTATGGCAGGTGAAAGAGTCCCTAGAAACATATCTCTAGAGTAACAGGGCCCTGAGTAACACTCTGTCTTGCACCACTGCCCCCAAGTATCACCCACAGATTAAAAATTTTGGAAAATACTCAGAACCAACACCCTAGGACTAATTCTGCCAAAACAGCACGGTGGGGTCACAGTCCCAAGCAGCACCTTCGTAGTGACAGCCTGTACTCGTACCCTTGGAGTAGCTCCCAGAAGAGCTCCATCAGGAGAGCCCTGAGTCAAAGCCTTGTGCATAAGGCCTTGCCTGCCACTCCCACTTGTTCAGGGACACACTGCAGCTGCCGGGGGCAACACAGAAGGGACAGGTCACCCATGGACTTGGGCCCAGAGTGGGGGGAGTGGTTTGACAGGAAAGGGGAGGGCAGTGCCAGCCTGCTAAGGCTGGGCTCACTATCTCCTTCCAAAGACAAGCGGGCAGCCCACGACACTCCCACGGTAGATCGGGAGGTGCTGGCACTGGAATCACCTAAATTCGAGAGCCCCCTGCTTCGAAGGCCCTTACACCTCCCCCACCTTCCTTCCGGTTCACCAGTGGCATTCGAGTTGCCAGTGGCCGTGTTTCTGGGCGTCTTCTGTGCCTCTCAGTGCATTCCTCCGCCCTGTCTGCATACCTGGGTGTCTGCCACCCTACCCCTACCCTCCGGGCTGCCCACCGGCCCTCCCCTGGGTCTCTGGGCCTTTCCACCGCAGAGGGCAGTGGGGATGGGTGGACGGCTGATCACGTGGCTCTGCTTTCACCTGCAGGGAGGAAGGGGAGGGGTCCCACCTGCTTGAACTGTTCCTCGTAGGTCCACTCGTGGGGATGGGGCTCAGGAGGCGAGCGGGGGCCCCGGGCCGCCGCCTCTTCCTCCGCTCCAGCTTCCTGCTCTTCCTCCTCCTCTTCAGCACCCTCCTCTTCCTCAGCCCCAATCTCACCCACCGTCCCCTCAGGAGGCTTCAGGGTCCGCAGGCCAGGCAGGGGAGGCCTTGGCGGCGGCGGAGGGTGAGGAGGGACCAACGGCCCCGCCCCTTGGGCCAGCCGAGCGGCCTGCTGCCTCTGCAGGGCCTCCATTACGGCTTCCAGGCGCAGCCGCCCTGGCGCGGGGGGCCCTGGTGCCCGGCGGGGCCCCGAGGAGAGGGCTGCCTGTGGGGGAGGGCGTTACGGTGCGGGGTTCTGCGGTCCGCACAGCCCCAGCGCAAGGGGAGCGGGTCACGGACTCGGGCACTCGAGGGGTCGGAAGGCAAGGGCGGACAGACAGCTGTGCCGGAGAGGGAGAGCCGGCCGGACCGGGGATCGGAAACGGGCATCGACTGAGGTCAAGCCCGGCACCCCGGGGCGGCAGGGGCAGGGGCAGGGGCAGAGGGGAGGACGCACGGCCGTGACAGCCGCTGCCAAGGACAGCGGAGGCGGAGATGGCGGCGGGCAGGCGGGGACGAGGCGCGGAGAGACGGAGGGCACCGAGGCGGACGCAGACTGGGATCCCAGCAGAGGCCGGAGCGGAGCCAGAGAGAGGGGCGGGGAGGCCGCCAGCGACCCCGGGCAGAGGCGGAGGGCAGGGCAGGGGTCCGGCGCCGAGGGACCTCAGCGGCAGGCAGCGGCGGGAGGACCGTCGCGGAGGCAGGAGGCCGAGGGGCAAACGCAGACGGGCGAGGGCGAGGGCGAAGGGAGGGGGCGGAGACCGCAAGGGTCGGGAAGCGGGCGCGGAGACCGGGCGGGCGAAGGCGCTCGCCGG